CCAGGTCCCTCTCTGCGGGGCCGCTCTCCAGCAGGTCCACGCCTAATCTGTACTGGTGTCCGGGGTTATTCCTCCCCAAGTGCAGGACCCTGCACTTGCCCTTGTTGAACTTCATGAGACTTCTCACCGCCCAGTCGTCCAGTCTGTCCAGGTCCCTCTGGATGGCAGCACAGCCCTCAGGGCTATCAGCTACTCCTCCCAGTTTGGTATCATCAGCAAACTTGCTGAGGGAGCACTCCAGCCCTTCATCCAGGTTGTTAATGAACAAGTTGAACAGGACCGGACCRAGAACTGACCCCTGGGGGACACCGCTAACTACAGGTCTCCAACTAGACTCAGTGCCACTGGCTACCACTCTCTGCACCCCGTCACTGAGCCAATTCCTGATCCACCTCCCTGTCCACTCATCTATCCCACACCTTCRGAGCTTGCCCAGGAGGATGCTGTGAGGGACGGTGTCAAAAGCCTTGCTCAAGTCCAGAYAGATGACATCCACCGCTCTGCCCTCATTTATCCAGCTCATTCATAGAAGGCGATCAGATTAGTCAAGCATGATTTCCCCTTGGTGAATCCATGCTGGCTACTCCTGAGCACCTTCTTCTCCTCCACATRTCTGGAGACAGCAGCCAGGATGAGCTGTTCCATCGCTTTTCCAGGGATGGAGGTGAGGCTCACCGGCCTGTAGTTGCCCGGGTCCTCCTTCTTGCCCTTTTTGAAGACCGGAGAAGTCCGGAAGGAGAGGTAGACTTATAAAGATCTTCAGGACTACAGTATTGATTAGAGTCAAAAACTATTCTTGGACTCACAGGGGTTTCTGCTCCTACTTCTGCTATGGACATGCTGTGAACCATTAGGGAAGTCATTTAACAAAGTTTCTGCTTATATGATGAGCGCAATGATGCCCGCTATCCTTTTTTATATGCTTTCCTAGTATCAAAGATTATAAGAGCTCTGCAAGTGCTAAAGTGTTATTTGTGTTCCCTCCTCCCAGGCAGATGAAATGAAACTTAGAAAAGGCTATAGTTTAAAAACAAAACAAAAAAAGCAAACAAAAATATCTCAGAGTCCTATATAAAAGAAACAAAGTGCATAAAGACCTAAGTGCTTGCAGAGTCCATGGCTATACTGACAGCACAATGAAGRTATATATGGTATGCCTTTAAAATTCCTGTTTCATTTAATTAGTTTTCCTCATTCAATCCTTAATTGCACAAGACATAAGCACATAAAGAGAAGAGTATTTCAGGACAAATAATAATAAAAAAAAAAGTCATCAAATTCTGCTGTACTGTATACCTCTCCACTACCTTTCACTAATCTGAAATCAAAGTTAAGATCATTTTTGTCATAAACCTGTATTAAATATGAAATCTGTCCAGACCTCAGTGACAGATGATAGACAGCCATCTCTTCAGGAAAGACCAATCAATGTGTGCAGCTACCATGACCCTACAGAAAAGAACAGAGGACTAGTTTAAGCATTTACTCTCCCCTGCATGCCCTAAAAATATGAATCATAATAAAAAAGAGTATCTACAATAGTTACTTATATTTTTGCACTGCTTATGTCAAAACATACAAAATAATAGGCAAGAAAAGAGAAAGGAAAGGGGATTCTGGCAAGTTTTGAATGGATATGTTTTAAATACAACTTAAGCCAAAATATTTTGTTATATTTTAACCACATTTGCTGCAGTTCCTTGACTTGATCTTTTGCAGATCATACTGTTCCACCACATCCATTTGTGTTCATCGCAATCAAAAGTATCTGGTGGAACAGGAAATTAAAGCTTGAAATTTGAAGTAGGGGCTTTCCTAGCGAATTTCAGAAATGCCCAACATATGTWAGGAGGTAGCCTTCCTCTAAAGAATTTGTCAAAGTTACATAATTAAACTGTCGCATTTGTAAATACCTTTTGCTGGAGGGTTACCAAGTACAAATCAGTAATGGAAGTGTTCTTGAAGGACCTGACTAGCAGATGATGTAGACAGACCTATTTGCACAGGTTGTGTTTCTCATATACTTCAAAGCAGCGATTCTCCTCCTGGCCTACAGCCTATACACACCTGGCATTCTGGAATGCTAACCTGGGGGACGTGAAGCAACTCCTTACCAGGAAGGTGCATTTGCAAACACAAAAAAACCCACATCTATGTGTCCTAGCCAGAGCGTCAGTCTTTATTCTTTCTTCCTTAATTTTATTTATTGGTGTATATATTGTGTATAATGCACTTGAGCACTGCTGCTAGCTTTGCTGTAACATTCAGCAAAGAGAGGCCATCTTGCAAGTTTTTTTCTTTCACAATTCTTTTGTTCTTTCATCTCTAATATTGCCCTCCAATGCACCTATCTGATTATATCTCTATTTAAACATGTTCAGTTTTGATCTCCTTTTCATGTTCAATGCACAAACACAGACATCAAATAGTTATCATTAATCCATCCACCAATTTTGAAGAGAGGCCTCTGTATGATGTGAGGCTAATCTCTTCATCATTTCTTATCTAATTTAGAAGGTGGGAATTCATTTCCAGACTCTGCTTTCCACAGAGAATGCAGTATATTGGAAGTAAGCTGTGGGTCCAGGACCATTCTCTTGCCTCACTATTATATGGTAGAATCTGGGCTATATTGGCCAAACTATCTTTAAAATCCATTGTCAGTTGAGTAGGTTCTAGCTGGAGTGCTGATTGTCATCTCAGTTTGTAAGCTAAAAGTTTCAGACATTTCTTTCCTACTTCCTACTGGGTCACACACATTGCTTTTAGAAGCATCCTTCATTTAAACATGGATGGTCTTCACACAGGGCAGGATCCTCAAACACTGCACAAAACACATCACAGCTTCAAGAACATTATCCCATGATTGGAATACTCTTCCAGATGAGATCACACAAATCAACAGGAGCCTAAGAAAAGCATTCCACATAGTTTCAGTTGTGCTTTAATGCCTCCTAGTTGTTGCACACAGAAAGTAGGTTGTCATTAAGTGAATAACTTGTATCTGTGGACCATAGTGCAAGAACCTTAGAAACCAGCGGGTTTTCCTCTCTTTGCTCCCACATCTGAGCAGAGCTTTCAGGCACACCTACAATGCTGCCCTAAGGCATTTGGCAGTGAAAAACTACTATTATATGAATTGTTGAAGATAGCATTAGGCTTCCTGATTAAATATTTTCACCAGGAAAAAATACTGGAAAACAATTGGTTCTGCAATATTAGATACCCATATCTATAACTGAGATTTATGCTAGGACATCTTGAATTATCAGAATATTGAGATAGTTTGGGGCAGATTACTTTTCGCAGGAATTTCCTGAAAGAGCTTAATATATCTTAAAATATCATCTCACATTGCTAGTAGGTGGGTAGTCTCACTTACACATCTCCATAGCAAGGACAATCATAGTTTAAGGAATAACTGACCAGACAATATAAATCAACCACACTAAAAATCTTCTCATAGCCAAGTAATCAAACAACTTATCTCCTCTTTYGTTATGGAGAAAGATGGTGGAGCTCTTGCTCTAATTTTCCTGTTCCCAGATTGATTCCCAGTTCAATACTCTTCCTCTCCTCAAGAAACTTCCTTTTAAAAAAAAAAAAAAAAAAGTTGTCCCAAGTCTAGCCAATTTCTCTCAGGATTTAAACAAACTTCTGGCATCACAGAACAAAATTTGGTATCTGTAATGCTCTTTCTCTCTCCAAATTATCTTCCTTATCCTTCACASTTTCCCTATATAATTATCTTTGAGAGATAAATTACAGTTTCCAGTACCTACACAGATACCATCATTGTAGTGATGAATAGTATAAATAAACAAACTGTAAGAATACATTCCATCTAGACTTACACTGATGCATGTAGCATTTTGTTAGAGATGTTGCTGACACAATAGTAATTAAAGTAATTAAAATACCACTCACCTACACCTAAGGAAGGTGCCTTGGATGCCCAAGGGAAATGAAGAATCTTCATCGCACTTGCCTCTCCTTTAGATGCTTAGATCCTTACTTGGAAAGTAAACCTAACMCAAGTCCTGAAATTAGATGAATCTGTCCTGATAAACAAGAGTCTCTTAAAAACAACTGCTCTAGCTTTCAGTAATTCTGTTTCTTCATTCAATATTTATGTWGTTGAGAAACACTGATTCAGGTCTTTTTCATTAGTTACTGCAATATCTCATTTGTGATACAGGCGCAAAACTGGAATGTATCAGGAGCAAAAAAGCAGACTATCAAAATGCAAGTGTGCTCTTTCTGTTTTTTTTTTCTTTTTTTTCTCTCTCCATAACAGGAAATTCAAAGATATAACTGAAGCTCAGAAATATAGGGGGGAAAAAATGTCACTTTTATGACTCAATAAAAACATCTACAGAAAAAAATATTGCTTTTAGAAGTTCTCAAAGGCCAAATTATTTTACAAATGAGATCTGTGACAGGTCATTGGCAAATTGCACTTGCCAAATGACCCCTTCACTTTGCAGTTTCCATCGTGTTATGGGAAAGGTTATATTTSCCACTAACATCCATTTGATGGATCATCTACACCCAGATGGGRCTCTCAGAATGTGTTCTCAAGACACCTGTCTACCATTCTATACCAGAAAGCATCCTACACCACAAAGATAATACAGTGGTTTATATCAAATGTAAAGCAAACATAACCATCAGCTACCTAGAACTTATTTGGAAAGGAAAAAAAGGCGGGATTGTCAGGATGTAGCAAGGACAGACTGCTTCCCAAGGCAAAGGGTGACAATGGCAGGGCTATCCCTTCTTTCATYATCAGGGCCTTACCCAGTCCATCCTATTACCATTACTGCCACCCTGCAAGTTGGAAAAAACAAGGCAGGTCTAGGKGAATCCAGAAAATCCAGCCAACAAATCATGACAGGACTGAGGACATACTTTCCTACAACACAACCCAAGCAAGCAGCCACAGCAAGGACATGAGCAGCTCTGAAGCCCATAGGGACAGAGTGCAAGTCCCAGGTGGGGGTGGTCAGGAAAATGAAGGCCAATTAGTACACCTGTTAGGGCTCTGAGAGAGAGCAAGCAACAAGTTACAAAGAATTCAGTCACATTCAGGGAAGGAAAATAAACAAACAAATGAGATTTTAAAAGAACAGACATTATAGTTCTGCCCGAAGTTCCAGACATACATATTAGAAGATGAATCTTCRGAAGTTTTAAAGTATAATCTTTAATAATTTCAATATGCAAATTTTGGTGGAAAAGTACCCAGAAATCTACATTTTTCAAAACAAACAAACAAAAAACAGCTGGTATATCTCCAGTTGTTTTGGTAAACTATTCACTTAACTATTAAGCAAGTAGCCACAGATGAATCTTCCTGGGACCTAGGAAGTACACTTTCACACAAGCTTCTAGAAGGAGACCAAAGTCTCTATCCACCACATTAAGAAGTCATGCAAGAAAGTATGCTCAAATAGGAAAGGAATTCCTAGCACTTGCACAGACCTATTACTGGCTCAGTGCATATTTATTTGTTCATCTTAGATTTTAACAAGAAGCAGAACACAGGTCACTGGATTTTTTTTTTTTTTTTTTCAGCTAGGATTCAAAGACTATGACTTCATCATTTTTCCCCCCACACTCTGTACCTATCATGTAAAAGTTTTTATACTCTTTCTGGAGCATTTAAAATAAAGTTGGTGACCAGCCATCAAATTAAGAAGAATAGATGATGATAAGAACTACCTGACYTCATCCTGGCAACAGTGTTAGTTGATCAAAGCAAATTAGAAATGAAGAACTAGCACCGTAAACTTGCCAGGAGTTTAAACTCTACCTTCATCAGCGGCAACTGAGTCAACTCCCAGCAAGTACATTACCGTGCTGGCAGGACTTACAACCTTCACATGACTGATAGTCTGCTCCTGAAAGGATGGCTAATTTTGATCCCTTGAGTACTTTAAAGGTCTGTGTTCCCCCAGTACTTGCAGAACTTAACGTTATAAACAAGTATGCCATCAGATCACAACAGCTCACAAGCTGGTCCGCTCTGTTAAGTAAATTCAGACTATTTAGCCATGTGAAATGTAATAGATTAGGGGTAGCAAGGAAAAAAAAAAAAAACACCAATAACAACAATCACGAGGGACATTAATATCTTCAAAGCTACCTGCCAGATCTTGGCAATGGAAGCAACAGACTTGTTTTTTTGGAAAAGACACAAATACAGTACTGCGGCTGATTACTATTCCAGATACACTGGTTTGGCTCTACTTATATAGGCCTCACTGGCACACACTGTCCAGAAAGTAAATACTTAAGAAACAAGAAGGTCCTCAAGCCAGATAAAGGGCCTTTAAAATAACCGAAATATTTACATAGACCTTTTATTTTAAACATTGTTGTCCTATTTCACTTTGTCTCCCAAAGAAACAGAAAAGTGTAGAGATAAGTGGTGTTTGGAATAACACAGATTAAAAGAAAAATAAAATACACAAATCTTGTGCAAAAAATAATGGGTTAATATAAAACACTTCTAGCCAGTCCACAGCCATTGTACCTGGATC